TTATATATTGTCTTCAATAAAAATATATTAATTTTTTTATTAATAATTAGGTCTTTCTAGAGTCTTAGCGATTAAAAATTTTAATAAATTATTTAATCACGTGTTTCACGTGAACTATATATATTTTATTAGCGAAATAGTAATCATAAACTTTTATTATTCGAACTTGATATATATTATATATGAATGCTATTAAAAAAAGCCCGTCAATTAAATTTTGTATTGGATACAAATTAGACAGAACAAAATATAATTGAAAAATAGGCTTTTTATTAGCGACACTCACTTCTAGTTTGACACAAAATACATTAATGGTATGTAAAGAAATTTTAAGCGTATCAAATTTATTGTTTTATTAATATTATTATATTTATTATATGTATTCCAGTATGACGTATAAATGACAAAATCGATTTTTATCTTATGCGACGGGTATTACAAAAATATGTATAGTATAGACTTGTATGTATGTAGCATACACCGCTATTTGTATAGTTGTATAATAAAAAATTAAATTAATTATACATACATATTTTAATAACTATACATTACATATTTTCTTAAAGCAATTTAAAATGTAATTGTTTGAGTGCCATTAGCATACATATTTTTTTTAAAGCAACTTAAGATTTAATGTTCAAGTACTATTAGCATACAGCAATTTTTACTTTAGCACATGAAGCATTTAATTGGCTATATTATGCTTGATTAGATATATTCTAATTCATTTTTCATTTTTTTATTGGCTAATTCTAAAGCCTCTACCTCAGCTTCTTTTTTTCGAATATCAAGTTCTTTCTCACGGATAGCAATAGTACATTCTTTAAGCATTATTTTTCGTTCTTCAATTTCTAATTCATTCAAGTTATTTGATTCTAATTTAATTTTGGGTTTTTTATTCGAGACTGCTTCTGTTTCCGAATCAGAAATGATTATAGGTTTACTTTGAGACTTTTATGATAAATTTTTTTTTGGATGTGACTTGTTTTCTATCAACAATTTAAATAATAAATTAATAAATAATTTATATAATACTTTAATATAAAATATATATACTTTTACGTGTTGTAACTGCTGATTTACAGGTCATTGCAGCTTTACGTTTAATTTTTCCATTATTACGTTGAGTAACTGGGATACCAAATTTTTTATGTATATCTATTCGACTAATAGTAGTTTTATCAAGCTTTCTTCCCCTGTAATTATAATTAATAAAATTAAAATTATTTAATAAATTTAATAATTATAATAATAATATAATAATTAAATTACATGCTAGTTAATTGCTGAAAGTAACTTTAATTGTTTTCCAAAACGATTTGCATAAGCATGAGCTACTTCGGCAGCATTTGTATTATTTCCAGCTTGAGTCCAAGTAATATGATCAATTTTCGAACAATGATAATTTAAAGAGCCAATAATATAAGAGGTGCGATAATAGTCAACTTATTCTAAAATATAAATATAAATATAAATAAATTAATTATGTATGTGTGTAAATCTATATATATATAATAAATATATACCTTGTATTTTATCTTCATTCAAATTTGATAATTGATTGAAAATATTAAGTATTGTTGCTTCATCTTCACAGTAAGGAATTGAATACATTAAATTTTTTGCAAATGTAGTAAAATTTTTATTTTGAATATTTCTATAAATAAATATATAATAAATATATTAATTATAATTATATCATAATATAAATTAAAAATTTAATAAAATTATTTACCGATTATAATGAATTAAACATGATTTAAATATATATAAAAGATGTGTACTCCAGTCCTTTGAATTATCAATTTCTTCCAAAGCTAATCCCAATCCCTTCACTTGAGCAAAATCTAAATCTGCTAAAATGCAAGCTCATCCCTCATTATGAATATGATAAATTTTAACATATTCATCTGTAATTTCTTTAATTACTTGAAATAAAGTTTGAAATAATCGTTTATATCCCTCTGCAGTAAATACATTAGTAAAAATTCGGCAATAAGACATAACTTTATTTATAAGCAAAAAATTATATATTTTTAGTATATAATTTATATTAATGAATATATGATAATAAAATAATTTAAATATAAACTTACTTAACTTATATTCTTGATTATTAATTAATTCTTTGACCCTTTTGTAACTAATATCAATTTGAAAAAAAGCTAATTTTTGTAGCATATGAGCTAATTCTGGTAAAATGCAAATAATTATAACTTGGCTATTTTGAAAAAATTCTAAAAAATTATTAGTAATAATATATATATAGTAATATTATTATATGCTTAAATATATACATACTAATTTTTTGAACATATTTATGTAAATTATTTATTTTTTGTGACACATTATACCATATACCCATAATACTTTGCCCAAACGGATATAATTCTTTATAAGCTTTGTTGATTAAATATCGTAATCGATCAACATTATTGAGTAAAACATGAATTTGATTTAGAATTTCTGTATTAAATAATGCTTTAACAAGATTTTCTTAAAATAAAATCAATTATATAGTTAAAATTAAATTAAATTAAATATAATATAATAATAATTAATATAGACTACTACCTGCAGTAAATAAACTTGGAGTTAAAGTTTCATTATTGCTAATTGCTTGTTTAATCAAATTGTGTAATGAATTTTTTATATTTGCAAGTATTTTTTCTGGTGGTGGTGGTGGATGTTCATGAGTTCCAATACAAATAAGTGCAACATAAGGACAACTTGATATATCAGATGAAATAATTTTAATAAACCACACAGAACATGGTTTTTCAATAATATTTTTTCGAGTAACTTGTCCATTTTTAATATGAGGATATTCTAAAAATAATTAAACTTAACTTAATTAAATATATATAAACAGTACATAAAGTATAAATTTAAAGCTTACCACATTGTTTTTATTTACAACTTTGTGAAATAATAGAAGTGCAATTAATTTGATTATTATCATCAATTTGTTCACCTATAAATAACTTTTTTAATAATGGTAGGTCAATTTCATCCAAATTAACTTTAATAAAACGATGTTATTTTTCATTTTTCTGATATTTAGTGCATCCAATAAAATACTGTACGATATTATATTTGCTAAGTAATTTACAATTTTTTCAAGTTTAGCACTACCAGAACAACTAACTCCATTCTGTTGAAATTTGCATTTTGATTCCAATGATGCTAAATATATTCTAAAAAATAAATTAGTTTAAATTATAATAATTTTAAAAAAATAATTTAAATAAAACTTATGTGTATGTTTTTATTTTTTTATTATTTATTTCTCGATCAGTAACAATTTGATGATAAAGATCCGAATCAATATCAACACTGTTATGTGATATATTAATATAGGCAAAATTACTATATTCACAATATTTAATTCCTTGACATCGTCGCTCATCCTTTTAACAGAAATATTCCCAAAATAGTGACAATCTTGGATAGTAGTAGCACCACCACGACCATTAATTGAATACTGAATCTTTAAAATAAAAAAAAATATAAAAATTAAATATATATTATATTATAAAATTAAGCAATACTAAAAAATTATTTACATTATTAAATGCATCCATATAATTGTCCCAACTATTTATATTATAGATAGTCGCAATTCCATTTTCAGATGTTGCCGAATATTCCACAGGTAATGCAGTATGGATAATTTGATTTACGTGCAATTTTTTGGTAAAAAATGCTATCTCTTGTAAATCTTGATTATTGCTTGCATCGCTTATATCACTCTATGCAAAAAAACTATAAGTATTTACAAATAAAAAAATAATACAAAAATTTGACAATGCAATGACCTTCAAACTAATCATTGCTCTAAAGCAAGCCAAGAAAGTTTTGCAACATAATTATTTTGGTAATATTCATACTTTAATTTGGTAATATTGATATTAATTTTGTAACCTTAATATAATGCTTGCAATTCCTGATTTAGGCTGAAGGTCTTGTATTGCCAAATTTTTTATTTTACCCTAATAACATTAGATAAATTTAATTACTGTATTTAGATCTGAATCTTCATTAAATCATGATTCATCATACTCATCAACGTCTAAATCTGAAAACTCTTCTGTAATTACAGTTTTTAAATTATAATTTTCTTTGATATTTGAATCTGAATTAGAAGCCATTAGGTAATTAATTATTTATTTTAAAAGATGAAAAAAAAGTTCAATTCATATTATCGATATATATATATATAAGAGTATTCTTTATGCATTATTAATTTATCATAGATGAAAAAAAAGTTCAATTCATGTTATTGATATATACATATGAGAGTATTCTTTATGCATCATTAATTTATCATATGCTGCAGGATTAACAGTTTGCTATTATTGTATATTGTATCAGATTTGATACATCAGATAATGTGTCCGGAGTTTAAAACCCCGATGATAGATTTTTGCTTGATGCCGACCGGATTACATTTTACACAATACACATAATTTATTGGTTACAATACATACGTACATAATTTATTAGTTGTACATTACATAATTTTGATAATCGATTAGGGTATTTTTACATACATACTTTATAAACTATACAATACACGTTTGCTATATAGTCTTATGCGACTCAATTTTAAGCCTACATTTAATTAAACTCAGTATCAATTCATGCAGAAGTTAAATTTATGAAAATTTAGATACTACTCAAAAACAATATAAAGAGAATTTTAAAAGAGAATTTTAAAATTATTAAATATACTTTTGTTATTACTCAATGATTATATAGTCAGAAATTGAATAAATATTGAACAAATCAGTAAGACACAACCCATCTTTTTTGTTCAAAAATTTACCATTAATAAAGGTCACTCAAGCATTATTTTTTCATTTTTTGCATATCAAATATACTAAAAATTAATTTTTAGCAAATTTCTAACTAGTCTAAAAGATAACCAATTTATTTTTAATGTTTGAAACTTTTAAAACAAATAATCGATAATTAATATGAGCACAATGAATACAATAATCTTTTAATGCTTAACCAAACCATAATGAATACTGTTATTCTATTTTAAAATCTTCTTAGTAAAGGAGATCTAAAACTAAAAGGGTTGGATAGAAGTTTTTTCATATTTGATAGATAGTAAAGAATTTAAATTGCTTAAATTATTTAAAGGAGAAGCTGATATAACTAAAGTTGAAACTTTAATAGTTGATCGAAAAGAATTTTTTTTATTAGGCTTTTTAGATAGTATCCCTTAATATGTAGACCAACGCAGGCAAATTTGCCTGCGTTTTTGCACTTTTTTAGCTCTGATTTACTTT